CATTGTTTATTTCTGATGCAATGATATGATGGGAGTGGCCATGTCGCGTTTTTATCGTCGTTTTTACGTGAAGGAGGCCGTTTGCGACTGTTCCGATGTGTGCGCGGCTCAATGTCAACTGTTGAAAGTAAGGGAAACAGACGGTCCCCGCTGGAGACTACCACCAGTCCAAATGCCAGCACATGGTTTATACAAAAGTATTTCGTCAATACCTTTGTATACATTTATAAGCTAAGGCATGTCAGGGGTCCAACAGCGGTTCAGAACTGTGTTATCGCAGCCAGTTCATACACGGGGGCGTACTTCTGAGCGATATCAGTGTCGGGGGGCGTCCAAGCAATACCTGCCTTTCACAAGTGAAGAAGGACCAGTCAAGAAGTGCGTGTTTCACGGTGAACATGTGCCGCATCGTTCAGCTGTGCAACATCCACTGAGCTGTTCAGTCAGGATCTGTGGTTGCTGTATGATCCATGCGCAGACAGGTCAGAATGATCTTATCTTTTCTAACCTTCCGGAAAGAAGGCCCCCGGCTTCCTGTCTTCGGTTCGATGCCTTTCAGCTTGCTTCTGCATCTTTCCCAGTCACACAGCTGCTGCCACTCAGCCAGCGTATTGCATCCTGCAACGGCGTGGAGGTCGCTGGCGGGAACCGAGTGCTCTCGTCTGGGGGAGTATCGCTGCAACCTTCGCGGCCTGTTCAGCGGATTCGTTGTCGGCCAACGTGGCTGGGTATGCAGACCAAAGTGACCTGTTTTCCATTTGATCTTAGATACCTGACACGTTCCAGGGTAAACTGGACCGATTGGATCGCGTGGATTGCTGAAGCGGCGTGGTTCTGGAGAGATCAAACTGAGCTGGGAGGGTCTGTGAATATTTTCGAGTATGAAAACCCCGGGTGCGAGATGTAGTTAATACAGGTTACGATAGCGTACAGTTCAGCAGCAAAAACAGATGAGGATGGGGGCATCACACGCTGTCCGGAATCTCGAGGCGACATGGAGGCTCATCCAGAGTCTCAGGACGTGTTGCATATGATACTGGGGAAATGGGCGTCTTCTTTGTCATTGACTGATGTGAGTTCTGGTGTTCCTTGTCTCATCGCAAGGCCCAAATTGATGCTCTTGGCGTACCAGGTCAGTGAAACGTCACAGGGCGGGGCGAACAGCACGCCAAGGTTGAGTGACTGAATGTGGCTGGGCCTGCGTTTGGCTGACGTCAACTTCAGCATCCCCCTAACCACTCATCCATTCGGATGCAAAGCATGTCATGTCATGTCATTGGGGCTTTACGACGCACTCAGCTGCTGAGACTATATGGCGTCGCCTGCCTCTCACCCTGGCAGGAAGGGCGGGCAGCGCGGGGAATCGAACCCCGTACCTCTGGTTTCCCAGACGTGGAGTGGTTAACGTAGACGCGTCAACGACTACACTACTGGCACCCCTCCGATGCAAAGCAGCTGAGTTTTAACCGCATACCTTGTGCGAGGGGTTGGATCACATTTCTGGGGAAGGTCGGACCAAACGCTGAGTGCGAGCTGAACAAACATGCTCTCGTCGTGTACCGCATGGCAAGAAGCCGCTGCTTCAGCAAAAGTGGCTCGTTTGCGTCACAAGGAGGCTTCAGATAGGAGAAGTACGAAAAGGACCTGCACCTGCGATGTTGATGGACACTGCCTAGCATCTTTTTGACTGAGTTACAGGCAGCGTCATAGACGGCACTCACATAGTCTATCTTTGATCAGATACACTATCGTTATCTCTGGTCGGATGCATTATCACTATCTTCGATCGGGTGGATGCCCGGTAGAGAGCCAGCATCAATTTCTGATTTGCTCCATATCTCGTGCGTGAAACAACTTTCAGAATGTCCATGACTTTCAAACATTACCCGCAAACTCCTAACCTAGTCTATGTACGGCAGACGGCGATCAAGGATGACAACCAGAAATTTATAATTGTCTTCACTGGTAAGATGGTGTTCGATCACCTGAGCTCATGATCTCTAGATATCCAACGCTTGTTGTAGAGAAATGTCCTTGTCGTTTTCAGAGGTCGAAAAAAGTGAAACCGGTCATGCTGCCCACTTGGCCACCTCGTTCGCGCACCGCTGCATCTGACGCTCCGCTGAGGCGGACGTTAATGCAAATGCCAAGAAGGTCAAGTCGCCCAAAGGGAGCAGCGGTCATGATCCACCCCGTGGAACACCGTTTTCTTGCGGAAGGAGGGCGGAGCACCTGTCACCGAGTCAAACTTCGAAAGCACGGTCACGAGGGAAGCTTAGACACTAAATTCCCTCGTGGCCTCCTCGTGAAACCTCCCCACGTGACCACGGATACCAGACCTGAGGAGCTGCACCAAGATACCATGGCGCCACGTGTATCAAGGGCTCCTCGCTCTACCGTGCAGCGGTTTTGTCTAACGAAGTTGCTGACTTCGCACGCAACGATTCTGTCGTATGTCTTATCTCCTCGAGTCGGAATCGCAGATAACTCAGACTGTCATACACTGTTGATAGTCAATCTGATTAAATACATTATGAATAAATTATGCAACTTCACGAATGTAAGTGAAATGCAAATATTAAGTAAATAACGAGTAATGAGTAAAATATTATCAGTCGACACGACGGTTCCGATGCATTCGACAGATTCGCCAAACCGTGTGCGGCATCCAGCCGCTTTGAGACATTTAAGTCATTCACTTTGTTTCGAAAGGTTTTGTTAAGTTAACAGATGATTATGAACAGTTGAAGCCTTTTAATGTTGACAGTATATTCGAGAAACCTGTTACGAATGCGTGGGAAAACTGAACGATGCAAATCAGCAGGTAAAGTGTCCTAGCAATGAGGCAAATACGCCGTTAAAATGGGTCGAGCGATTTGAATATTTTGTATTCACGAAAAAAACAACAATGTCCAACAGTGCTGGGCAGACTGTAATCAACACCGGTGAAAAATAACCTGCGCAATGTTGGACCTTCAATAAAGACAGGTCAGTAACAATAAAACATCATTAGCGTATATCCTTCTTCAAGTGGCGCACTTGACCAGGCGTGATTATGCTTCATTCCATAACATTGTGTGTGGTATACAGAGATGGCACCATCGAGCGGACAAGGGGAGCGCATTCCCCTCGATAGGAGGAGACATGTCGAACAGGGGGGGGGGGGGGGACAGTTCCTCCTATCCTACCAGCCTTCTTGCAGGAGAACATCTGTTATTCGCACATATTTTCACTACGAGGACCATATTCCCGAGTTTCTGACCTTGCTGAAGCCCCCTCACATCCGCAAGACTACATTTCTACAAATGCTTGCACGATGCTACTAAATTTCAAGAGACCGCTCGGCGATATTCCCCTTTACTGGCCGAGCACATTCAACGTCTTTCCTGTCTTGAGTCTAAAGCCGGATTAGGAGGTGATTGGATCATTATGTGCCCACAGCCTATTGATATTATGTTTTTTTTAAGGTTAGGTTTAAACTGCCATTGGCTTGTAGTACACCTATTACAATGCAACATTCCTAATTCCCCAAGCACGGGTGCTATTTTCGCATGCTCTCCCACCCCGTCAATGACTATTAGCGTTATCACCACTTTCAACGTAGTGTTTTTTTGCAGCAGCTTTAAAATGTATTTTATAGTGTGACCGCAAAGTGTGGCCCAAATAAGTTCAAGTATAGGCTAACATATCCTGTGAATTTAGTGTCTGCAGTTTCCTTAGGTTCTGAGATCTTGGGGGTCAAATCGACCCCTACCCGGGCAAAGGGTATCCAACCGGCCACTCCGGCGCGTTTTAATCTGTATTTTACATGAAAGCACGCAATTATGTTATTCCTGGTCGCGCAGAAGCTGCGTATACCAGCCCTACGGAGAGCTTCTGGGCAGCACCACCAGAGGGGCAAGAGGTGACCACCCTTTTGCGATTTGCCGGGGGGGGGGGGGCAAATACAGGTCCACCTTTCTGTGCTCCACGATCTGAGTCATAATACGTGGTATAATGCGCATAATACGAGTCATAATGTGCAATATGAGTCATAATGTGCATCCCTGAAGTCGTCAAACTTGATCGTCTTTTCATGACCGTGTCCGCCTGTTAAGCCATAGCTGAACACAGTTTCATTGCGCGACGGGGGCTGAAAGCTCGCTCCGGTTGGTGGTGACGCAGAAGACGCTCGACGCAGCTGCAGTATGTCACGTGCTGGCCTTCGCCTAGGTCAAGTTGATCAGGCTCATGCCGCAGTCGCCTTTCCCGGTCGAAACGTAACTTGTCAGAGAATGCTTGACTGCGCTTAAGACTACACCATAAACTGTAGTGGTGTAGACCTAGCAGGATTGTGTGAAATTTGTGATTCCCAATTAGTGTACCGTTGAGGTGTTTACTCCCTGATATCATATTTTTGCAAACAAAAAGAAAACAAAAAAAATTGCCGTGGGGCAAAAAATCCATGAAAACCATCCTGCAAAGCTTTTCATTCTGAACAAACACGCGTGTATAGACTGATACATAATGTGGCTAGTTGGCTAAGTGATAACATAATGTGTTGAGGAGACGCTACAAAACTGTGATCAGACTTTTCCGCCGGCATAGGACAGCATACGTCCTTTTACGTTGAGAGGGCCACGGAGTGATAGCCATTTGGATTGTTTTCCAGCCAAAGCCAACATAAGGCCGAGGACAAATTTGAAATTTCGAAACCAGTTGTATGTTATTCACGGTTCAGCTCATGAAAGTTTGAGCTGTTCAGTTGTTCTGGGGTAAGACATGGGAAACAGCGTAAAGGGCCTGAACGCCTCTGTGCATCCCTCCGACAGCCTCCCGGGATTATAATGACATCATGAACTCGGAAGACAAGACAGGTCTCTGTTGCAACGCGTCCCGACAGATTTGTAGGCCATTCCGCAGGCTGAAGTTCCGCGTTTTCGCGCCGGTCAGAGTCGTCCTGCGATTGGCTGCCTCGTTTCTTGGCCGGCTGCCCCGCGGCAGAGCGATGACCTTGGCGGCGTGACCCCGGTCAAGGGCAGTGGTTGGCAGCGTGCCGGCAGGGTGATCTCTCTCGCACCACTGCGCGCAGGAGCATCAGGCGGCTGCAGGGTAAGTGTCGTGGACGTGTTCAATTCCTTTTCAGCGTTAATAGCTTTGCATGTGCTCCTCAAAGATGCATGTTATGCCTCATGTTGTTTAAATGGCCTCCGCACCAAACGTGATGTAAACAGAAAAGGCTATTATCTTTTGGTTATTCAGTATTATGAATCATAAGAGTTGTTGCGTGAACGATACTCGGCCTTCAATATACCTGTAGGTGCTGGTTAAACGACGTCATCAAACAAACAATGGCAATGCAGCATAGCCAATGCTTGCCTGATAACGTTGCTTTACTAACAGGTACCTTATGGTATGTTGAGGACTGTCTATTGTCAGCAAAGAAATCTACTCACAATCACGCATCAAATGCACCGAACCAACATACCGTAAACGCCCTTAACTGTGGTCACGTTGAAGTGAGTTAACTGAGATACTTATGTGTACATGCGTATTGCGTGATGACTTGAATTCTAGCGCCTGACCTCGGCAGCGTGTATGCGTCCGCGTGCGTCTGCCCGCACGCGCACAATGGCAAATCGCGGGAATACAAGCGTTGGACCGAAACACGCGGCTTTCACTTTGCACTCTTCGTACTTTCAGCTCTGCAAAGAACATACGGCGCGGCCAGACGTAAGAGTGAGTCGTAGAGAACATGCTGCTAAGCTTGCCAACCAACTACGGACTGCACGGACTCCCTGCGGACCAACAGCACGGTAATGTGTCCTGTTGTCGACCTTTCCGTCATGCTTTCATTTCCCCACATGTCCTTGGAACATGGAAGGAAGGTAGCATTGATACTACTCAGACCGAGCAGTGTCTGAACTATGGTGTATGCACCTTCCTGACGAACAAAAATACCGGCATGAAGGTGCTATGGGGTTGTGCGAATGTACGCAAAATATCGCAGAACATCCTCATTGGACAACCGTTTCTGTGGCGTGTTATCATAATGCTCTGACAACATCACAAGGATGGAGGAAGCGGGGAGGCATCGCAGAGGAGCAACCGTCTCCCATCTCTGGAGAAATTTGGTATTGAGTCCAAAACGTGACATGGAAAGAAACTAGGCAATGCTTGCTGTACATAAGTACTAGGAGGCTGCTGGAAAGCTAGGCAATACAATGCAGTTCCAACGCTGATCAACGTAATGTAGAGATAGCAAAATTAAGCGCGTTTCAGGCCGCCATAAGCCGCGTATCCAGACATGCAACCGAAATTCCTCGTGCTAATCTTCTCTTCTCTGAAAAATGCTCGGCGCGAGCAGACGGGAGATGGAAGAAAAAAGCATATCTTGTGCGATGTAGCGGTGAATGTAGAAATATATGACGCATTCACCCCAAAGATGATGTTATCCAAAGTATAACGTTGGTATAACGTTAGAACCATGCCGTTAAAGTGTGAAAAAGTATGACGCTACCCAGCTCCGAAAAACCGCCTGCATGAGCAGATCGTTATAATTACGTTAGTATGACGTTATTAGTGTGGTGTTTAAGTATGACAGTATGAGGCTATCCAGCGCTGAAAACTGCCTGCATGAGCCGACCGTTTTCAGAGAAGAGCAAGTAACCTAACCTAACCTAACCTAACCTAACCTAACCTAGTCCCTTGGCGAGACCCTCACTTCCCTGTCATTCGGTTTACATTTGGCAATAACACAATTGTTCGTTGCTTGTTTGAAAGTTCATGCCTTCTATTTTGTTTTTAGTCTGGACAAAATAACGTGGACGTCAATGGCCGACATTGTCTGTTCGTCCCTGCACCTCGGTGGAGCATCTGACACTATGGCCAATGTGTGGCAGGCGCGCGGAACCTCCCCCGTAATCGCGCCCAAGTGGCCTACCATTGACGGCCAGCTGGCCGTAAGCCGAGGTTCCAATGGACTGTCGATGGCGGCAATATGGGCGTCCGTGCCAAACCGTTGCGTGGCAGTTGGACTGAAATTGATGAATGAATGAACTGAGCTGAACTGAATGTTGATTGAAGTGCAATGGCGACGGAACGTCTGTGGGAGCAGGGGAGAGTCAACGTGATTTTGATCTAGTTTCTTTTTATTCACCATCATATAATTAATGTTAAGTGTTGATAGAAATTTGGGACGGGTGCCCCCTGCCCCTCCCTAATCTACCCCCCCCCCTTCTGAAGTGGTGGCATTGGGCTTCCCAGTAAGGTATCCCGAGCGAGCACTTTGATCCCAAAGTCATCCTTTCAATGTTTTTTAAAGCCTTGTATCCATACACTGTCGTGAGGGTAGTGTCACAGGTTGTTGTAGACAAATTCCTTTCGGCTTTTTGGCAATTTTCTGTAATCTTGAACTAGCGCAAGATCCGAATTCTCGGTCTAAAATGTATGGTTGTTTTTCAAAGAGTTGCCAGTTCAATTTAAGTTCAGCGAGCCATTCCTCGCCCAGACCTCACGAGCTTTAAGGCCAGACCGGACCATTGCTGTTCTTGCGTACACTGAGTTCGCCATTTAAGGAGACCAGGTCCCCAACGGGTGAATACTCAGTCGGTGTTACAGCCAGTCACGCACGTACGTGGGTGATGCGCAACCCAGCACACAATGCACTGTACCGGCAGACCCGCTTCCTTACAAATGACTCATGGTGATCAACTTCCACGCACAAAGCACGCATAATGATCGTTTGCTGGTATCATGCCATGTCTGCTTTCTGCCAACGACACATCTGCCCCTGCTCGATATACTGGCGCAGTCTTCCATTTGACTCGGAGGCCCTTACGCAAAACACGCTTATACTGCCGTGTCCGCCAGTACGCGCGCACGCGTACTGAGCGCGCCTGACTTCACACAGGTCAGCCGCCGCTGCGCGTCGTCTGTGAGCTGAGCTCTGCCACCGGCCTCGGCTGGCGAGACTCGCCAGCTCCAGCGGCCGAGGAGCTCCGAGAGGGCTGCCCGGCCTCAAACCACACCGCCGCGCTGGAGCCACCGAGCCCCGGGCTGACACGCAGCCCGTCGCCCCAGTCGCCAGCTGACGGAGTGACGTCAGAGTCGCCGGCTGGTGAAGTGACGTCAGAGTCTACAGCTGGTGAGGTGACGTCAGAGTCTACAGCTGGCGAGGTGACGTCAGAGTCTATGGCTGGCGGGGTGACGTCAGAGTCGACTACTGGCGAGGTGACGTCAGAGTCGCCACCTGACGAGGCGCCATCAGAGCCGGCAGCTGACGAGGCACTGGCAGAGATGTCACATGGGACGCAGCTGTCTGATTCGCTGTCTCGCGGGTCGTCCTCGGAGGAGCTTGACGCTATCCTCGGGTCGACCTTGTCTGGGTGGGTGCAGTCTCCCGAGGTCATGTCAGACTTCGCCCACGACAGGAGCACGGCCAGGTCTGAAATGGGCTTCGCTGCCGCCAGCCAGCCAGCGGAGTCCACCGCGAGCGCCGAGTCCACCAGGACCTCTGAGTCCACCGCGAGCACCAAGTCCACCGAAACCTGGTCTGAGTGGTCTGGAGCTAACGACGGAGACGCCGGTGGCCTAAAGGCGGCCGGTGGTGCCGATGAGGTCCGGGCGTCCCGCCAGCGGTACGAGAAGCTGTTCCACTACTTCCAGACGCTGAACGCGGCGGAGGGCTGCCCACTGGCGGCGGCCCGGCGCCTCCCGCCCGACACCGCCGGCTCGCCGCGGCAGGCGTCCCCCGAGCGCCGCGAGCCACCGACCCCTGACGGTGGTCACGGAGCACCGCTGGGGGCGTCGGAATCGACGGCTGGCCGGGCGGCGAGCGACGACGGCGACGGTGGCGACCCTGGCGGGGATGCCGCGAACTCGGAGGGGCAGGAGACCAGCCCCGGCTGCCAGTTCGCGCTCACCGGCATAGCGGACTACGTCACGAGCGAGTGTAGTGGAGACGTCGAGGAGGGGTGCGGGACCAGCGAGCCCGGCGTACCTGCCGTTGGGAGCTGCGCAACAGACGAGCCGAGCGAGTCATCCGAGGCTTGTCGCGGCGAACGGCACGCCGGAGCTCTAGCTGAACATACACGCTGCAGAACCCCATCCTGTCCATCCACTGAAGAGAGTTTCGCCGTGGCCAGGTGCACCACGCCTCCCAAAGGGATCGCACCAAAGGACTGCGCGGAGGCCCGCACGCCGATATGGAAGCGCTGGCGGCGGGAGCGTGCCGGTCAGCAGGAGTCGCCCCGGCAGACGGCCGTCTCCGCCTGGCACCAGGAGTACGACGAGCTGATGCGGCCGTGCCGGGGGGACGGGGCGCTGCCGCCGCCGGGCGGCCCCCGGCGCCGGTCGGCGACACCCTCACGCGAGCAGCTGCGCCATCTGCGCGAGCAGGTGTGCATCGGCTGCTCGCGCGCCTTCCCGGAGTCGAACTACTTCGACATCTACTACCACGTCAACACCGTCTTCAAGTGGTTCAACTGGAAGTGGGAAGCGTGATGCTGATGACTGGAAGAAGTGGCATTCGGCATTCGTAAGGGCGGGGTGTGGAAGGCGACCAGAAGCTGAGGCTGTTTGCCTGTGTCACCCGTTTAGTAAATAACGCACGGTGCGGCTGGTCGATCCCCTTCTGAAGACAGCGCGTTGAAGTGAGTCATCTCTACCGACGTCACAATGCTTGGCTTGTTGTTTTAGCGATTGACATGCGATGTACGCTTCGCGGCCGACATGGGATTAAGTGTTGTGATTATGGCGTTCGCTGGTCAAGAGGATCCACTCATCGTGAATTTAACCGAACGCTTAAGGGTGCGCTGATTTTATACCTTGACCTTGATCTGTCGGTCATGCATCTTTCGCTGGACCACGACGCATGGCCATGTGAGCGGCGAGTCATTTCCATGAAACATGTTTTTGTTGTCTTGTTTTGCAATAAAGTATGTTCTGCTGAGGCGTCCTACACCACATGTATTGTCCTGAACGACCACCAATTCCGTTCCATAACGGCCGCTCGTCGTGTAATTTATCGCTTGTAGTGGAGTGCCTCGCTTCACAGGGCGAGGGGCAGGCGTGAAGGCACACACGGAGCAAGGTTGTGGCCCCCGAATGTCGTTCCGCACGTGCTGGTGCGACTCTATTCTCCACGTGTTCACGTGCTCACTGTGTACTCCAGGTGGGGCACACATTATGCGCTTGCCATTCCGGTCAGTCATGGCCATAGTTTGACACGATGGCACCAAGAAGCTTACAGCCGTTCAGTGCGCACAAGACAGGTTTGGCTGGGCATTTAAGGTCATTTGAGTGAATTCGTCGGGACAAAGCTCGGCGAGTTCGCTCTTGAGGTTCATGTTCTTCAAGATGTTTGTTCCAACGCGCACCGGTCGCAGGGCTGAATGATGGCTGCTCTACGACGCCGCCAGCCTGATCCGACCTGGCGGCCGCGCTCGCAGTAGACGCGGGATTTTTGCTGTGTGGCGCCAGAAATATTTGTCGCTGGCCAGGTTTTGTGGCCGACTTTATTTGTGCCGGAACATCGCGCTTTGGCCGTGGTTTGGCCAACCATTGACACAGGTCGCAAAGTGCACTTGGCTTATTAGATAGCAGTGCGTGAGCTATACGAGTTGGGTAAACACATTAATATCCACATATACCTTGTGCAACTGGCTGGGCTTGACGGATGTGGAGGAAATTAGGGACATGGGTACGTGCCGTGGATACGATACGATACGCGGATAGACGTTGCCGAAGTACATAGTATGTGCTTGGGAAGATATCACGAAATGCTGCAGCTCGCGTTTTGTAGTCCAAATTGATTTCATTCATCCTACACTCGTAAAAATAAAAGCAAAAAGGATCAGTGCCGCCCTACCCGATTTTTTCTTTCGAAATGTAGAGCACATGCGAAAAAGATGCCAACGGATGATTGATGGCACGTACACCTGGTTGGGGACGGGTAGCAGGTATGCATGGACACTGCCCCATGGGAAGCAGGTGGATTCGGTAGAGGGCATCTTCCCCGTTAAAGCCTCCAACTAGGTGACACGGAACGCTGCAGCAGCGGTCGTGACGGCCCGCACCAATGGCGACGGCCAGTGCCAGGGACGACGGCCAGAGCCGGTGCCGACGGCCCGTGTCAGTGTCAGCGGCCCGTGCCTCGTGCCAGTGCCGACGGCCAGTGCCAGTGTCGACGGCCCGTGCCTCGTGCCAGTGCCGACGGCCAGTGCCAGTGTCGACGGCCCGTGCCTCGTGCCGACGGCCCGTGCCACGTGCCCGTGCCGACGGCCAGTGCCAGTGTCGACGGCCCGTGCCTCGTGCCAGCGCCGACGGCCAGTGCCAGTGCTGACGGCCAGTGCCAGTGTCAGCGGCCCGTGCCTCGTGCCAGCGCCGACGGCCAGTGCCAGTGTCGACGGCCCGTGCCACGTGCCGACGGCCAGTGCCAGTGTCGACGGCCCGTGCCTCGTGCCGACGGCCAGTGCCAGTGTCGACGGCCCGTGCCTCGTGCCGACGGCCCGTGCCACGTGCCCGTGCCGACGGCCAGTGCCAGTGTCGACGGCCAGCGTCAGTGACAACCCGTGCCAATACCGACGGCCCGTGCCAGTGATGACGGCCAAGTTAGTGGCTATTGCCGCTGGGTAGGACAGCATCAGCCCGACGAAACACCATCAGATCAGCGCGGTCGCTGTTGATGGAAGCGCGCAGCCGTCATCGAATGAGTCCCTTTAGAGCTTGGCAGGAACGAATCTCCCATTAAAAGTGTTTGCCGTTGTCAACTGCCGCGTCTCTTCATTTGACGGGACCTCTGAATGACGTGTCGCCCGCAGTGTTGCGCAGATCTGGTGTGAAAGATTTTGGCTTTGTGTGATAAGCTCTGAGGCACACTCAAGTGCACAGCAATGTGCGTGACAGCGTACCATGCTATGATAGAATTCGTGGCTGACCAGGACAGCCCCCCCCCCCCACACTTTTCAAGGTGGGGGGGAGGGGGCAGCAATGTTAACTGGCCCCCCACGTTTAAGATTAAGGTTGCATTCGGCTTACTTTTGCACTACATTAAACATCCATGGCGATTTACCTAGTTCACCAGCCATCTCCCTTAAGATGCGTTACCTTTTTCGTTTGCTCGTTGGCCATCGCTTAGAGTTACAGCCGCAAGACCAACGCCGCACGGCCTGGAGACTGCAACGCCGGGTGTCGAGGCTGTTATTGCTACGACTTACGAGCTCGCGTGTTCAAGACCATATTACGCAATGTTGTTGTAAGTAATCAGCTCTGACAGGATCTTGAGCATTTTAAGATGAACATGGGTTAGCCACGTTAATGCAAATTATGAACCTCAAGTCTACAGTATACAGTAGGGAGAAATCAATATCTCTGAAGAACACAGAAAACACGGAACTGGAGTCTAGATGTTGTTGCGTCAATGACGGTTCCTGTGCTGACCCGGAGCCAACTGCGCGGGTCAGAAGGCCTCCCGTGTCAGGGATGGGAACAATGTGATACGTGATATGATACATGAACGTGATATGATACATCCTTTCAATGGCCTCCGGATCGACCAGGCGATCCCACCCCGTACCACCATAGCCAGAAGACACTTAGCGATGGGACGTAATGGGCCTTCAGCCCTTGACCGAAAACAGTAACGTACCACTGGTGTTCTACTCAAGAGGCCCCTTGCCCGGAGGAAATAAGGGGTCTCATTATTGAGTAAATGGGTGTCTCATTATTGTTGAATAGGGTGGGACGAAATGACTTTTAGAAACGAGCAAGGTCATGCCATGTTTGCCTGAGAGCATTCATTTTTTTCAGAATGTAAGTTTGAAACAAATTACATCAAAAGGCTTGAACATGCCCGCCCGCAACCTCGAGAGCAAGGGCAAGGATGGTCTGGGTTGCAGCTTCCGTAAAATCGAAAAGTTTCGGCCACTGCCAGCGCCACCAGACGGCAGGCGCCGTGTTAATAATCTGTCTTCTGGATAAATAAATAGCTGCAAAAACACGACAAATGGAGATTCTACCTTCACCCTTCCAGTTCAACCAACAGATTCCAGCCCCACTTCGCGGTGCTTTAAGGGCCAATCCGTTCTTTTCATCAGTCTCAAAATTGCACACGTTAACTATGTGCTCAGACTGCCTTCTAAATGTAAGTTCTGATGTCATGAAGCGTTCAAAGATACCTTTTCGGAAGCGTCGTCATTTTCGTCCACCGGTGGGCCACGGCTATATATTACCTACTGGGCTAACGTTCCGCGAACTTAGGAAACTGCAACGCCTGGTGTCGAGGTTTTTGTTGCTAAGATTTGCGAGCGCTCAGGTTAAAAAGCGCGTTACATAAATTGTCACTAATCGACTCTGACTGAATGGTGAACAACTGCAGACAAACATGGCTTGGCCATGTTAAGAGCCATTGTTGAGCGCTCGATCTGCAATCGAATCTTCATCTTCAAATTTGGATCAAACATCTCGATCCACAATCTACCTTCACAATGTCCTCAATGTCTATAGAACACAGATAAAAATTTAATAAGGCTTCTGAATCCTATTGGTTTAGAAAGAGTCAACAAACCATTGCAAATTTAGAGCGCCGGTGATTTGTTCCATCCAGCCGTTCAGCAATTGATTTCTGCAGTTTATTGACCTCAAAATACAAACAATTGAGCTAGGAGAGCTCCTGGTTTCTGTTCTGGTTACAAGGTAAGAATAACAATAAAACGAAGAAAGCCATGTCACTTGTTAACAAGTAAGCTATATCGGGGGATTTTAGGGGATCACCATAAGATGGGCTTTTGTCAACCTGGTGTTCCCCCTTGGCTACGCCCCTGCCCACACACAAAAGCAGATCAAGTCGTGTACGTTGCATGATGGGCAGTTAAGTGTCCGTTGGGCCAATCCATACCTAAGGCAGACAGCTTTCTGGAGGCTGTTTTTTCTGCGATGGTGTGGTGTGAGGGAAGATAATTCGGAAAACATATTGTTGCAGGTGCTCAGCACATGTTTCATACACCATGCAGTAGTAACGCTGATCCAAAAGTATGCAACAAAGTTACGATCAGCTCGCAGTCAGTCATGCGGGAGACATCCGGGCCAGGACAGTGACCACCGACGGCGGGCAGCAGCAGGGCCCAGATAAGGAACATATGTGGCTTGATGCTTAAAAGAGAACCCCCAGTATTATGGCTCTTGTCATTGTTTCTAGCAGTTTCAAGCTCCAGAATTTGTTTCCGCCTAAAGTGCTAAGACAAGCCTTATCTCTTGAAAAGCGCACAGCGAAATGAAGGCGCATGAAAAATCCGTCGCATTGTAAGCCATCGATCCTCTTTCAAAATTCTCACCAGCCTATATCCAGGCCGTATTTTGGCATCTACACTGTGGAGGCAGATGCTTTCTCAATGACTCAAAATGCCTGCCCGCTCGTGGAATTTCGTCTCCTCAGGAAAGCCCATGTTAAATTGGACGAATAATCTAGGGAAGCTGGATAGCCTTATTTGTCAAATGACAGATGGGTCGAACATGCAAGATTGTGCAACAGTGAGAAACAGCTCTAGATGCTTATCTAGCATAGCAACCATGACATTTGAGTAAAGAGCGGCAACAACCTGCATACCTACCAACCCCCCCCCCCGGTCATCGGGTTGGCTTTCCAAAAAAGTTCCTGAAGTACACCCTGAGCTTCCCCCCCCCCACACTTTTTGAAACGTTCCTACACCTATGGACTGCTGTCAAGCGAAAGTCAACAAATGCCGGATCACGTCAGCAGTGTGACATTACTTCTCGCCCGCCCACCCAGCCTCGGTTGGGCAAACACTAGCCGACAAAACACCCGCCACTGGAAAACCTTTTCACGAGTACGGCGATCATTCTTGTGGGAAAAACAGTAAAACATGACTAACATTGGACGGTCTTCATACGTCGACTCAGGGCGAGGTGCGACCGTCCCGCTGGCCTCGTGGATCAACCGGGTACTGGTATGACCCGAGCACGACTCGGACCGCCGCATAAACGCGCACCTGCTTTCCGTTTTATTCGTATCAGCACGTACAGATTAATGATGTTCCTAGACACGGCACGACGTATGTACATTGTACAGGCGGCGGCCGGGCCGGGTGAGCAGTCGCGGCATGTGCGAGCCCCTCTCCCCTCCCCCTCCCTGGCGGCCGGCGCTGGGCCCGGGGCCTCCAGCGTCGGCCGCCCCGCACCTGTGGACGCCGCGGCCTCCCGTCGCTTGAGTGTGGGGTGACGGCGGGAGCCCGGCAGCGACCGCGCGCCGTCGAAGACGACCAGCCCGGGGAGGAGCAAGGCATCTTTGGGCGGAGGAGAAGGAAGGGAGCAGAGGGAGGGGGAGAGGGGGGGGGTTGGAGGGTTAAACCTCCGCAGCTGGTGAGGACACAGGAGTAAGATCGGACCTAATCCAGGCCTGACTTCAGTGCCCCGGGCCGTGCACCAGCGCCGGTACTACTCCCGAGCAGAGGTGCCAGTGGAGGTAGCACGTCGCGTCCGGCGCCCGCTCAGCCCGGGTGGAGTGGTCCAGGCCGGGCCGGAGCCGCTCCTCCAGCCGGGCCAGGCGGCGCGCCGCAGCTCATTACAACACGGCGCGCGCTACTTTAAGTAGTGTTGCATTTGACGGCCCGGCCGGCCTCTGGCATTCCGCATTGCCACCGGCCCCGCACGCATACACACGCACACACGCGGAAACACACGCACGCATACACACGTGCAGGCAGGCAGACGGACCGCCGGGCGGCGCAGGCCGACGGCCGGCATCGCGCCCTCCCCTCGGGGGTGGCTCGAGCTCCCGGCGCCTCACATCATCGGCACAGGAGGCGAACACGAGCAGACAGGTCAACAGACGACTGGCCAGACGGAGGCAGCGCGCGCGCGGCTCGCGCCCAGAACAGAGTGTCGCCACGCTAGTGAAGCGCCATCACGCCTAAAACAAGGCTGGAAATAGGCAAGAGCGACGGAAAACACGCCGTGGTTAGGTCGGTACCACACAAGAACAGACCAGCAAAACGCAAAGCAAGAGCCTCTCTCAGTGGCGGTTATGTAGACGGTTACAGGCGTAGTCAAATGTTCGTCTAAAAATAGCTTCACGTCGGCCATAACTATGCCCTTGTCTTTTGCATATGTACACAATCAAACACTTGCGTAGGCTCGAGCGCGCCGGAGCGAGACCAGGCCCGGGCGAGAAGCCGAGGGAGGCCCGCCGGACGTGGGCCGGCACTAGAAGCGATCGCCGCGCGGCGGCCGGCGAATAAATAAAGCACGCCGCGTCCGGGCCGGCGCCGGGCGACCGCGCGCGCGAGCGCCTCAACCTCGCGAAAGACCACGTAGACGGGTGCAAACTCACTGCTGCTTTGTATGGTGGGCGGTGGTGGCGGCGGCGGCGGCGGCGGCAGGCACATGCGGTGTGGCGCGGCGGCCGCTCAGTCCAGATTGTCCTGGAATATGAGCCTGACGTGCGGTGCCGGAGCGTTGAGCGGCGTGGCGCAGAACGGGCACATCGAGTGAAAGCCGTTGGTGCCGTGCGGAATCATGACGGCCGACCAGTACTTGACGCTCGCCTCGGACGCCATGTGGCCGCACGGGTTGAACGCGTACGTGGGCGCGTCGCAGTCGACGTGGAAGCAGGGCTCCATGCCCATGCAGAGGCGCACCACCGGGCCCGTCTGCCGGCGGCCGAGCGTCAGCGTCAGACTCCGACTCCGACTCAAGGGTCCCGGCGCTCTGGAACTCTGGATCCGGGACTCCGGGGGCGGATGGCGGAGCGGGGTGCGAGAGAGAAGGTCCGGACGGACGCCGACTGGAGCCCAGTAGCTTGGGAGAGGCGCGGGGGCGCGGGATGAGGCGACCAAGACCAATCTTCCGGCGATGGATGGAGACATGGCCCGTCATGCACAGCGACAAGGCGCTGGAGACGGTGGCAGTGAGCTCGGACTGGACAACACCGGGTACAATGTACCGTCTGTCAGACGTAGGGGAAGACCGCGCAGACGGCATGAACACATCACATCTGGGGATCTAACGAATGCGATATCCATGGAAATTCTAGCACAAAGTCTAGCGCAGAACAATTATCCATTTGGGCTATGCTCCTGGTGGCTCGATGCATCTGACAAGGTATGAGTAATGGCGTCCGACGAATCGTCACGAGAACGCTCAGACCAGGTCCCGCGGACGCGCAGCTGCATGCCGTGAGCAGAGTCGGACCCCTCAGTAAACGGCGAGAGCACGACGGGCGAGCGCCACGAAACAATCCGGATTGGGGAACGGTACGCCAAGGACGTCAGACGACTGAAACAAAACGACGCGACGCGGCCCTCCGGGAGTGAGCTGTCGGCCCAACCACAGCATCCGATGAGTCCGGCTACCAGCGCGATGGAGGCGCTCGAAACCACAAACAGCACAGCGTTCGAACAAACGGCACAAACCGCACAGTCGCGCACCATCCCTCTCCCCGATGCATCCCTCAGCCAGCGGCGCTCCCTCCCTCCCTCCCTGGCCGCGCCTACCTTCAGGCACATGGGGCAGGTGCGCGAGTCAGTGCCCTGCTCCTGGCCCCACTGGTGTCGTCCCTGCACGTGGCCGCAGTGCAGGTACACCCAGGGCTCGCCGTCACCGCTGGCCGGCGCCACGGACTTGCGCGGGATGACGAGCGTGTTGAGGCCCACCTGCCACGACGGCGGGCGTCAGGCGGGCGGGGCCGGGGGCGGCGCGGCTCGCGCGGCTGCCGAGCAACGCCCGTCGCTGGCGCAGGTGGCGGCCGGCGCCGGCTTCGGAACACGGTAAGCACGCGGCGTTCTGGGCCCTCTAGACACCCAACAGATAACATCGCGAGTGACGACGAGGCCGCGCACGAGGGGCTGGGAGTGGTCTAACTAGGAACTAACTAGGCACAACCTAACAGCAATGACTGCCTCTGGCGTGGCGACGCAGGTGCGGGCAGGAGCTGCAGTGCTGAAACATGGACACCATCACCACCACAGCGATGTGTTTAGCTGAGAGAATCTACAGGGCATTAGCGGTCCACGCACGCAGCCGTGCCTGGTCCGGGCTCTGTCGGGGTCTGATCACCGAAAAGACAGACTGCGGCATTCATCGACTGAGATCGAACTACAAAACAGCTGCATGTAACACATTCGGCCGAACACACACACGATACGCCACACACGAAGATGCCAACAGCTGCTGAAATGTCAAACGGATGCGCAGCACGCTAGTTGGAAAAAGGAAACCGCCTTCAGGAAACTAGTGCGTCGGCATGAGCTCCGATTTGTTCCACAATCAACACAATCAACACTTCCCATTCCCTGCCTCACACCCACAAACCCCGCCATCCTGCGATTCCCGTCTGCCGCCACCAGACGGCAGCAGCGGGGGCCGTCGCCGCTCCCCTGCTCACCGGACACTGCGGCCGGCCGGCGTTCAGGCGATCCACCATGCGCTCCAGGTCGTGCTTGGTGGGCGAGCGGCTGAGCCCGTCTGCGGAACGCCAGAGCAGCGTGGCGCCGCACAGGTCCACCAGCGTGCCGTCCTGCAGCTCGCTCGTCTGGTCCTCGATCTGGCCGCGGGGAGGCGCCACCGTCAGACGCGCCGGGCCCGCAAACGCGGCACTGCTCTCTGCTGATGCGGCCACCGATTGCTGAGCGGGTGGCGGTGATGTGATGCACGTTTTAGAGCTGTTGTGCACTGCATTACGGGTTGATCGCGTCCAACCCAATAAAACATCGCGGTAAGCAGAAAATGTGGCGTGCCCTCGGCCCCAACACTCCCAAATTTGGCGACATGGGGCCTCTCCGCAGCGTGTCCACCAGAACAGGCCGCAGCTCCAGGCAGCTACCATCACCGGGAGCGTCAGCGGCCCGGCAGGAGACCTCGCCGCCGCCGCCCCGCTCACCACGCAGTCCAACAAAATGGAGTCTCGGGCCGCGCGGCCAAAAACCGGACGTCCGGCGTGCCGGATCGGTCTGTGCAGCGTCACACAGGCCGGCGGGGTCCGGACTGCGATTCCGGCGCCGCGACGGAGGCCGCGCCGTCCCTCCATCCGCCAGCTGGCGACTCACTGCCCTCTGCTTACCTTACCTCGCCCATGGACAGCAAAATAACTACAGCATCTACGCCACATCGTCTTCTGTCTACGAACTGTTAAGTGTGTACGCAAGCAGTGGTCTCTTGTGCGCACGCCACATGATGCATGGTGTGTACTGCACCTCGAGCATCGTCTTGTATCCCACAACGTATTAAAACTGCAGTATTCAATGTCAGTCCTCCAAGGCCTACCGTCCACTGCACACCACCAGGTGATTTTGTTCAGCTGCGTGTTGTCAGCTGAGCACCCGCCGCAGGCCGGCAACCCACTGAACATTCGCCGTCGTCACTGGCGAATTACGACTCACTCGGCTGCGGGGGCCATGTGACGTCGCCTGCCTCTCACCCTGGCGGGAAGGGCGGGCAGCGCGGGAAATCGAATCCCGTATGTATGGTTTCCCAGACGCGCACCCACCCACCGAAAGCTCCTCCAGCTGCGTGTCATGACACTACCGTAGCGCCCGACCACCTCCCCCCCCCCCCTCCGCTCGCTCTGAGCTCACCTTGATGCCCTTCTGCGCGGCGGAGCGGGTGGCGCGGAGACCGTACATGCCGCCGCCGACGGACACCTCCATCCAGGGGCCAGGCCGCGCCTGGCCGCCGCAGAAGGCGCCTCGTGGGTGCATAAGTAGGATGCCGTTGGTCGTCAGGCCGTCGATGATACCGTCCGTCTCCCACTTGGTCGCCTTCTCCTGCGGCAGCGGTGGCGGCGATCGTGTTACGGCAGGCAGCGCGGGCTGGGAGGCGCCGGCGAGGGGAGGGCGGGCACGTGTGGCGGCCACGGCGGCCGGGCTGCAGAAGGTTCACTGTGCAAGCAGTGAACCCTCACTGACGAGTTCACTGAACCCGTGAACCCTAAGACGGGGCCTTCTGCGCATGCAGCAGGCCCCGTCTGACCTGCACAGCCGCTACAGCCGTTTATGGATAGTTGAATCACACAGAAGAGAGGAACTCGAGTCATGTACTTCTTGCTATCGTACTATGACATTGTACTACATCATCTACATCGTATCTACTACAACGTATGGTGCTATCGTACTATCATAGTTCTCCGTGCCTACTATCTCTTCCGGATGATGCGCAATAACTTAGTCCGTGGACATTCATAACAGCGTCGTCTTGCATTTCCTACGGCATCTCATCTAGACAAGCGAGGAATTCGCGCAAAGACGATGCAGTGCAGTGGTACTCCCAGCCAGCCCGACGATGGCCATAGGCAGCTCAGGTCGGCCGCTCACCCCTACGGCAAGAGCACGCGGGATCCGTCCCCGCACCCACAAGAGGCCGATGTTGGGGCAAATCAGTTTCGCTTTCCTGAGATGCGAGCAAACAGCAAAGTATACCGCGAGACACATGTCCGCCCTCGGCCTGAATAGACACGTTAACAGTTCCACACGTCGCAGGCACGGCGTCGGCAGTCTGTCGCCACGTACAGCCCACTGAACACGTCCACAGTACACGCCTTCATCCGAGCACCGGGCCAAGCAAGACGCCGGCTAGTCCTCCTACGCGTACTTACTAAAGCTGAATGAAGGGCCTCGGCCCCGACGCTCGCCATCAGCAGGCCGCTGGAAAAGCTGAGCATGCGTCCCGCTTCCAGAAGACATCACACGCTCGATCCTCGCACTGCGCCCAGTCTGAACCTCGACAGCACGTCCCCCGATGTCGACACCGAGCCCCGCCTCCCCTCCACCCAGAGCTGCCCCCGGCCAGCCGCCCGACATCAGCTGTACCGTGCCGGCTCTCACCCCGAGGAAGATGTTACGTGAGGAGTCGAAGCCGGCGGCGTACACGTTGGCCTTGAGGGTGGCTCGGTTGACCAGCAGGCGGCAGGCGAAGCGCGAGATGGTCGAGTGAACCACCTTGCTGTCGCGCGTGTCCTCCGTCTTGACGCCCGGAATCGTGTCCAGCACGACAAAGTCGATCGGCGACTCCGACGAACGGCCCACCTGGCGGCGCACGGAGGGACGGGGTCAGACGGCCGGAGAACGGGGTAAGACACCTCGGAACGGTGGTAGACGGTCGGGGGACGGGGTCAGACGGCTGGTAGGCAGGGTCAGACTCCGGGGGACGGGGTCAGGCGTCTGGGGGACGGACTCAGACGACCGGTAGGCTGGATCAGACACCGGGGGACGAGGTGAGACAGCCGGTAGGCGGGGTCGGACGGCCGGGGAACGGAGCCAGACGGCCGAGGGACGGGGTCAGACGGCCGGGGACGGGGTCAGACGGCCGGGGACGGGTTCAGACACCGGGGGACGGGGTCAGACGGCCGAGGGACGGGGCCAGGCGTCTGGGGGACGGACTCAGACGACCGGTAGGCTGGATCAGACACCGGGGGACGAGGTGACACAGTCGGTAAGCGGGGCCAGACGGCCAGGGGACGGAGCCAGACGGCCGAGGGACGGGGTCAGACACCGGGGGACGGGGTCAGACGGCCGAGGGACGGGGTCAGACGGCCGGGGACGGGTTCAGACACCGGGGGACGGGGTCAGACGGCCGAGGGACGGGGTCAGACACCGGGGGACGGGGTCAGACGGCCGAGGGACGGGGTCAGACGGCCGGGGACGAGGTCAGACGGCCGGGGACGGGTTCAGACACCGGGGGACGGGGTCAGACGGCCGAGGGACGGGGTCAGACGGCGGGGGACGAGGTCAGACGGCCGGGGACGGGTTCAGACACCGGGAGACGGGGTCAGACGGCAGAGGGACGGGGTCAGACACCGGGGGACGGGGTCAGACGGCCGGGGACGGGTTCAGACACCGAGGGACGGGGTCAGACGGCCGAGGGACGGGGTCAGACGGCGGGAAGGGGGAGGGACCAGGCGCGCGCGGCCAGCCGGCCAGACGGAAACGGTATCGGCACACAGCGGCTGACCGGACACTGCGGTTAATAATTCACAGAACTAATGTTGCCTGGTGCACTTCTTGGAGACTGGTGACGGTCAACTGCAGACCCTCGGCCCAGCCGGTGCTGAGAAGTGGTCGTCGTCGTCATTGGGGCTCAACGACGCACTGAGCTATTGAGGCTTCATGGCGTCCCTCACCCTGGCAGGGTGGGCACTGTGGCGAATCAAACCCCATACCTCTGGTTTCCCAAACGAACCGTGATAAGCGCAGACGCGTCGGCCACTCCACTATCCGCCCCCTACTGTGAGGCGATCAGGGCACGCGGGGTGACGGAGGTGCGGCGACGACCATCCGACGCGCGTCGCACATTCGGCAAGACACAAACTCTGCTGTCGGACACGAGTCCGATGCGCCGTTTCACCGGCGTATTCCAGAGTTGAGACCCGGCCCACCTGGCGACCGAAGCCTGTCAGCCTGTCAGCCTGTCAGAGGCCTGTCAGCGTGACGGTGCAGCCCTCGCCAGAGCTTCGCTGACTCGGCCACGGCGACGTAAGGCCAGTCACAACGCTGGCGCAATGGCCATAAACAAACGACAGCGTCGACAACGATCGAAGCGGCTCGATGACCCGTGCACCCGCTCCTGGGAGATCGCGCCGGCCCGGCCCGGCCCGGCCCGGCCCGGTCGACCCGTCAGCACGCCGGAGCGTGCTGGGCCCCGTCACAGCTCCGGCCGTCCGGCGGTGATTGCGGCGCGCGCGGCCGGCAGGCGGATGTGGGGCCGTGTTTGCCACATACGGGGCTTCCTCGGTCTGGTAAACTTGGCGCGCGGAACAACACAAAATCTGACAAAAACCAGAATGTAATGCTCGTGCAGCAGCGTTTCAAGGGCATTCTTCACCGAAAGCACGTCAGCCTCAACACCTCCTGCGACCACACGATCTCACAATGCTGGAACTGTCGTCCTGACGTTCGTCAGCTTTGCACCGTCTACGCGAACACCAACGCGCAACGTTCCGCTGCTGCTGCCTCACAGCAGCGCCGCGGACTCACCTGGAAGAGATCAGTGTCGTGGTCGGCCGAGTACTCGACGATAATGGCCTTGTGTCGCGACAGCGTGTACGAGACGCTGTGTTGACACCGGTCCCGCACCGCCTGAAACCGAGGACCCGCCGCTGGTCACGGCACGAACGGCTGGGCTTGCCGAGCGACGGCGGCGGCAGCCGGGCCGCCGAAGGGCGCCAGCTGGCGGCAGCGTTGCAGCGCGTGCCAGCTACGATTGCACCTTGGCTTACAAAGAAGACAATGCCTGCAACTGGTTCGCCATAAAATAAACGTCAGCTCAGCATGTTCGCCTGTTGTGCACATCATTAGCATGGTTGATTCCAACAGCCGAGACGTTCATGGTTAGTACACCTCAGTCAGCGCAGCGATCTCAACGCGTCATCGGGGGTGTATGTTTATACCGCCGAGCAATGACGAAACCAAGAGCAATGTTTCCCGCAGCCGAGATGTTCGTGGTTAGAACAGCTCATTCAGCGCAGCGATCTCAACGCGTCATCGGGGGTGTATGTTTACACTGTCGAGCAATGACGAAACCAAGAGCAATGTTTCCCCCAGCCGAGACGTTCATGGTTAGTACAGCTCAGTCAGCGTAGCGATCTCAACGCGTCATCGGGGATGTATGTTTACACCGCCGAGCAATGACGAAACCAAGAGTAATGTTTCCCGCAGATGAACAAACAAAATTGCATCATGCTAGTAGCGCTTAAAGGCGTGACAGTAATCGAGTACAATACCACAGCTAATGAATGTAATAACACAGCTAAAATACAGCTAATACACACGGTAGAGCGGCGGATAGGGCGAACCGGCCCAGTTCGCAGCCAGAAGGGCGAAGTTCGACTAAACGGGACACTATCAGACAGGACGAGAGGCCATTCCCGGGCCACCAAAGATGCAGTTTGCGGTCTTTGTAGCGCCCCAGCTCAGAAGACAGGCTATCAGATGATGAGCAACGCCTCATTTTCCCCTCCCCGCCACCATCTCTTTCTCCCGATCTCGATTTTATTTGCAGGCGTGGTTTTCGGATCTCACTTGTTTACACCGACATCGGCAATTTAGACAGCTTTCAGACAGCACATAACGAACACATTAGGACCCGTTCTTCATGGATGAACGCCGTTCCCCGAGATACTGCCTATGACGCCAGTGGCAATAATATTCACGCACACACAAGCGCAATACCGGCGCACGCCGCTCTGACGTAGCCACAGGCGGTGTCATCTGTGACAATCTGGAGTCTTTGAAAATCAATTCGCAACTTGCGATTTGCCGCGTATCAGCACCGCCCATGACAAACGCCTCTCTTGAGCCGAGCTGCAGCAGAGGACGCCGCGCCGGTCCGTCAGCGCTGCGACTCCCCTGGAGCCCATCCCGCGTGGCTCACGCTGACATTGTGCTGGACCGGCGCTGTCTCGATGGTCTCAGCCCGCTGAGGTCGGCCCTTCAGCGCCGCCGGAGCCGCAGCTTACCATGCATACAGCGCATCGGCTGTGGTGCTGCTGCGTCAGGGCCGAAATTACGGTTGATGAACGACACCAGCAAGGTTGCATTGGTGCCACTTGGCATGGAGTTTATGAGATTGCATTTCATGGTAAGCAGTTGCATTAATTTGCTGGAAATACCTGCAGTGAGGCTATTATTTTTCATTTCATTACCAGCCTGCAATGGTCAGTGGTGAGTGACCTAACACAAATGGGTACTTGATTATCTCCAATGCTATGGAAGCAACAAACATGACCAGTTGCTAAGAATCACGTTATGCTCGAAAACGGTGACACTCCAAATTTGATATTACTGCTCACGGTCCGTAAAAGGAACTTTCAGCGCGTGTGCCCGCGCGCACATACTCAGTGGTACGCACCGTTGGCCGAGAATCACCAAGCTTGGTTCAACCCGACCTAAACCGCATCCTCAATCCTCATCTTAAATCCTCATAATCCCCTCTGGCCGTGACATGTCGGTAGCGCCAACCGAGCGACAGGTCCAGCAACAGGCAGATCGCCCCCCTGGCCAAACAACGGCAATCACGGAGGTCAGGGCCGGGCCAGACATCACAAAAACGCCGCTCCGGAGGTCAGCTGGCTCGGCCAAGCGCCCGGGACAGGCGCTCGGCGCGGTCACCTCCGAGTGTCACCGGCACTCCGAGTGCGGCCGGCACTCCGAGTGTGGCCGCGTCGCCAGATTAGACTCGTGACGCTTCACCAACCGGACAAACAACCCGACGCTCAACATCGGCCGGCCGCTCCGCGCCGTCCAGGAGCGTCGCGACCTTCGCACCGGCGAGTTATCAACGCATCTCATCGTGACGAGGCTGTTGCGATCACAGCCATCGCCGCCCGCGGTGCCGGGCCCTGGCTCAGGGCGTAACTGGAGCCAGTCAGAGTTTCCTACGACCCGCATCGAGCCGAGGACAGCGGGCTCACCGTTGGAGGGACGCTTGCGCTCGTGCGCAGGGAAATAGGGCGCAGTCAACCACGGGAATGGCAGCGGGACACATATTTGCCGAGCGTATCTGTGCCAACGAATGCCGGACGTGAAATACAGCTGCACGGTACGCCAAGGCGGCGGCCGAAGCGATCACGTTTCCCAGCACGCAGCAAGCGTGGCGTCACCCTCCAGTGCATGTACCCTCAGTACCGCTGCCCAGTGACGGGGGCAAGCATGATCACACACGCCCCAACGGCATCGCAAACTGGCGTCGGCTACCCCAGCTGTTTGCACCGACACCGCTCTGTCAGCTGCAATAGGTTGCATCCGAGGCCCCACGCGGCCATATCTAATCGCAACGTGTCGCTCCTCACTCAGACAGCCCCCGGCGAGCCGCGTGACGCGGCGGCCGGCCCGACCGGCCCCGCTCCCGCAGCTCCGTCCGTTGGCGATCACAGCCGGGCGTCAGGAGCGCCGGCCGGGGAGGCGTCTCGCGGGACGCGGCCGCCAGCTAGCTGCCGCGGGGTCCGGTCACGCCGGGGTCGGCCGGTGCCACGGGCCCCGCCGGCCGGCCGGGGCGGTGGTTCGCGGTGTCGTCGGCCGTCGTGGCCGGCGCGGCCCTGACCGGCCTCAGGCGGGCGCGGCTCTGCCCGGCCCACCCGGCGTCAGAGACGGACCTGCTCGGCTCGCGACACACTTCGCCGATCAGTGACGGCTGCGTCCACTTCACCGCCCGCTGCCCAACCCGCCCCTGATGCAAAACTTCCCGCACTCAGCACTCAGGTGCGGCCTGGCCGGCTCCGCGCGCCGGCCACCAGCCAGACCCCGGCCGCGGAGCGCTCACCTCGGACATCTGCGGCTGCTTAACCTCGTAGTAGCGGGCCGGCTTGACGCCGTTCGACACCAGCCGCTTGTGCAGCAGGAACTTGGACGGTCGCCGCTCCTTGTCGCCGTGCGCCAGGATGCCATTGTAGCTGGCGGACGAGCAACACGTGCGTCAGGCGGGGCAGACCGAACACACCACGAGGGAACGTGCCGCGCGCGAGTCAGTGCTTCTCTCAGGGTACACAGCACGCAGAATCGCACAGCCCCCTCATGAAGCGCCGGCGACTGCGCTCGTACATGTAACGTCCAGGGAACCCGGCTCCATCCGGCTATCGACCGGCGCGACGGATCCCGTATGTGAAAGCTCACGCGCACGGCCAAACGACGGTGCGTTTAAACACCGCTTACGAAGGCGCACAGGCGCATCACAAGTGTAAAGCGGCGGTGACTCACTGCGGCGCACCTGCGACCCGTCCGGCGCAAATAACACACACGCACACGGCGCGCAGCGGCGCCCACCAGTCCCCCACGCCGCACGTTCGTCACGTTCCAGCCGAATCTCAGAGCGCGCGGCGCCACCCGCGCGCCGCCCGCGCTCCCGTGACGTCACTGGCGGACTGCTGACTCACCCGAGAATGACCAGCTCGCCGTAGCGCTGGCCGGCCGGCCGAGGGGTCACCACCAGGTCGTGCGCGGGCCCCGAGGGCATGCCCTCCGGTGGGTCAGTCTCGGCTCCGCTGGCGAGCGTACGGCCGCGGTCAGCGGCGTCCGGCCGACGGCAAAGACGAACAGCGAACGGGTGCCGTAGCGGCAGACACGTGATCAGGGTACAGCGACGGTCATAGGGGACGGAGCTGGCCGCCGCCGCCGCTGGCACGGAGGGGGGGGGGGGGGGAGGGCGGATAGCACAGGCGCGATGACGCTTGAACGATTTGAAAGGTCAACACGACGGCGGCCAGGTGCAATGTTTAGGCGCACTTGTGTCCTTTGGGACGGGGGCAGCGACCATCCTCTTTTCGCATACCGGACAGTTTTCTGCACTGACAAAGACGGCCTAAAAAATGTGTATATCCGCCGTGGACGGCGGCCAGTTGGCGCGGTGTACGGCGCGGCGTTCACCTTGTTACAGAGACCTTCCTCGCCACCGTAGGCCGTCGCTGCTACGCGGGCGCTAACTGACTGCTTTCAAGCCAAGGGTCTGGGCCGCGTTGGGGCTTAAATAGAGCATGCCGGTGAATATCTCCCAGTGCATCACAGCTGACTACTATCTCCGTTCAATATACCCTGTAAAGATGGCAGATTCTATTCGGGCTCGACAGCTGTCGGGGTCCCTTCAGCTCAGTTCCGACTCACGACTTACTGTTCTGGCATTGCCGCGTCCATGCAGTGGTGAATACATAGGATTCACAGCTGGTCCAAGCCGTTAACTTATCTGAAACAAATAAAGGCCCTTTAGAAGCAAGCCGTGCAACACACACACACGAAGCACGCAGCATTGACAGGCTCAGAAACATCTGGTTGACGCAGCAGAAATCCTACGCTACGCCGTACTCCCATATGGCATTGATGTTAGGATGGCTGCGAGGTCCGCCTGCAGGAGACCAAGCTGACCATTACTAGGGAGCCAGCCTGAAGAAGGGCCGACGACGTCTGACCCGGTGGGTCCCGAGCTTCCGGGTCTGGTCTGCCGCTGTATCGAGACGCCGGGTCTGGTCTGTCGCTGTCCCGAGCCGCCGGGTCTGGTCTGCCGCTGTACTGAGTCACTGGTCCTGGTCTGCCGCTGTCCCGAGACGCCAGATCTGGCCTGTCGCTGTACCGAACCACCGGGTCTGGTCTGTCGCTGTACCGAGCCACCGGGTCTGGTCTGCCGCTGTCCCGAGCTGTCAGGTTTGGTCTGTCGCTGTATCGAGCCACCAGGTCTGCTCTATAACGCCATCTCGAGCCACCGGGTCTGGTCTACCGCTGTCTAAAACCACCAGGTCTAGTCTGCCGCTGTCTCGAGTCTCGAGCCGCCCGGTCTGGTCTGAGGTCTCCCACAGCCAGCAGGGTGTTCAGCGCGGGCTGTTCCCGTCGTGGCCGCCCTCCCAGCTCCCGCTGGTCCGTGAGCGGCGTGATGGCACGAGGGTCACAAATCACAACTGTCGCCGGGATCACACGACTGTCGCGGGAGTCATGAGTCACGACTGTCGCGGGAGTCACGAGTCACGACTGTCATCGGGGTCACGAGTCAAGACTGTCACGAGTAACAGCCAACTGTCACGGTGGTCGCGAGTCACGACAGTCATGAGGGTCACGAGTCAACTGTCGCGGAGATCACGAGTCATGACAGTTACGGGAGTCACAACTGCCACGGGGATCACAAGTCACGACTGCCATGGGGTCAAAAGTAAAGACTGTTACGAGTCACATCTGCCGCAGGGGTCACGAGTCACGGGTCACGACTGTCACGAGTCACGACTTCTACTAGTCACAATTGGCACGGTAGTTACGAGCCACGACAGGCACAGGGGCCACGAGTCCCAACGATCAGTGGGGTCGTGAGTGATGAGTCACAGGTCACGAGCCACGGCAGTCATAGGGGTCGCGAGTCACGAATATCATGGGGCCATGAGGAACGACTGTTATGGTGGTCACGACCCATTTGCCATCTGGTTAATCACACTATGTTTTCCCATGTCATTACATGGTCATATATTTTTGCTAATTTTACATACAGACTAATGCTTGACTAGGCAAAACCAGAACTGACACAAGATAATCTGCTAGATTTTGTTAAGCCAGGATGTAATGAATTCCCTTGCATGCCTATATGAAACCCAAGCTATATGCTATCTACAAACCAGTTCTAAGATGTTTCCTTTTCTTTCTCCTTGAGTCAGAATCAGTCAACTGAAACATGTACTATGCTGCTCAGCTGTGGTCTCCATCAATACAAGGTGCTTTAAATGTTGATAGTGATGCTGCTGAAGCAGCAGGAGGCACTAGTATACTGACAAGACACTTAAAACCTTGTTTTCAAATAATGTGAAATGGTTGGTGACAACATGTCACATGGCCATGCAGTGACAAATGACCCATGGTGACAAAGATAGTATGCATCATTCTCAAAGCAGCTTAGTGGGCATATGGGAGTAGCTTGGGGAAAACACAATTTATCCAGCCTTTTTTTAGCTCAGAAACAGCAACACCTCCATCTTGAAATGATGACAAGTCAATGGGCATCTTGAGAGAAGAGTGTGATGCAGGCCTCTGAGGCCCCCAAACCAACCACAAATCCTTTGCATTTATATTCTTCATGGAAACCAAACCAAACCAAACACAAAAGTCATTTTTTTCTTGAAACCACAACACATGGGTACATTTACATTGTGCATTTTTACTTCTTGTTCCAATGCATTTGGTGAGTCAAAAGGTGATATGAGTTGTAAGGTTAATTTGTGTAAGCAAATGGCCTTTAATCCATACCAGATAAGCCAACATTATCAACCAAACTTAGCATCATACCAAGGCTTTATTATGCAAACAGTGATAATGACAAAGGTGACAAAGCTGGCAACAACATTTTAGCATTTGTGGGACAAGTTAACTGTCAACTTGAAAAAACACTCAAGCTTCATATGTGACCATCTCTCATATTTTTTTACAGTGCAGGAGCATGACATGAATGTAGTTCAGAGAACAGACAACCTGCTCACAAAATCTTGAGAAGGTGGCTCAAAAATTTGGGTTTGGTGGCTTCATCCAACAATATCTACGGAATGCAGCAGACATCTTGGATACGCCTCTGATGCCAAAAAAGGGTGAAAATGTTCATGATCCAGGTGAGATGGGTGTTTTTGCAGGCATTGTGCCTTAATGATTCCATCATCCATCCATTTGTATTCCATTCATTCATCCATTCATCCATCATATGATCTGCATTGATATCCAAACATGCCAAATTTTGGTTTTAACATGGAAGCAATAGGAGGTCATCATGCACAAGTGCCACTGGCATGGCAACATGTCATATCAAGACAAATAATTTAAATGAATTAGGATATAATTTATGATAAACCACATGCAACTATAAATTGTGATGTGCCTAATGCCTTTAATATGGCTGTTTATATATTGCATTAGCAATGGGAAGAGGGAGCGTGATGACAGTGATCAAAGCATGACCAGAGGTTGGGGAGGTGGGGGCATGGGCATGATAATGCTGCACTCAGGCATGGTTTCAAATCATGCCACACTATTCTATGCTTCAAAATGTGAAATTCAGATATTATTGGTTTCTCTAACAACAAACAATACACCCATCTTCCCTTCACATCTCTAGCTTAATTAGGGGCCTATCAGATGTTACCTTTTTGGAAAGTTGTGATCCACATAGCACAGCCAGGGAGGAGGAGTGGGGTAGATGGGGGAAGGCATCCAGGCAGACCCAGGGCTAATGGCTTAAAATACATATCAGACCCCAGACAACAGTTCATGTAAAATTAATTTTTACATTCTTCATGGTAAAGAACATTAAATTAAATTGAAAAAGCCCTTCTCTGCACGTTCTTGAACACATCGCATTGGCTGCTTTGCCAATTTGTTATAGGCTGCAACAACTAAAATGCTGTCATAACAAGACAACCCCTATCCAGCACTCCACCAGCATACTGGCTGTCCAGTGGTCTCATAAAGCTTGTTGGCACCTATCTATTACCCTTTGATCCCAGATTACCCAGATATCTGACCTGCCCAGCCCATTTGTCAACCCTGAGACACATAAATGCTGGGTTGCCCACCACCCAGTTTGATGCTCATTGGGCAATTCTGAGTGACAAGATGAGTGACTGTCAGTGCGCTCAAGCCTGGGATGTAGTCCCTATGTGGCACTCCCTTCTCACTGAAGATTTACTGCACTTAGCACTTGACTGTACATCAAGTATGTAAAACACTCAATATGAAAATAAGGATGCTGTACAAAGCATGCAGGTATGTTGTAACTTTCCATCCATCAGCCAGTAGGGTTCTTGAGTGAGCCCAGTCTGTTCAACAATTAATGCTGAACTCAAACCCAACCCTGCCAATCATTTTGACACCCTCAGCATGCTGACAATAAGACATATGAAGCTATCCATCTGAGTCTTGTCAGCCACGGAACCTACAGTACCATCCACCAAATATCATCACGCGCCAATAGACTGAGCTTATGCAGCTAACTCAGTTAGAAACGCACGACGAAACCTTAACAAAGGCATCGAAACCGACGTAAAGGACAACGTAGAAACATCTAAACAAAGCTTGAAATGTTGTGGCAATCTTTAAAAAGTCACAAAAACAACCCTTGTCAATAACTTACACGACGCCAGTCACGGAAACACGCAGCACGTGGCACCAATTCGTATTCTCCTCATACAACCCTTCCTCTCACAACACTCATACCCCGATACCTCACAGACACCCCGAGCTGGGACCGCTGAACCCCTTGCTTCCTATGCATTTGTGTGTTGGCATCTAACGCACTACAACGACGCCAGCTGGCTACACAGAAGGCTGAAAACGAGCTGCTTTTTCTTTTGTAATGGCGATGGAAGCAAAGCTGTACAGTGTCACGGACGTGGTTTGGTCCATATCCATGATGCAAGTTTTGGCTAATATTTTCGTCATTCTAACTTGCCTTAAGTATAAATAACACATATAAACAAAACGAGGATTGCCGGTTGGAACACGTCGGTATGTAGGGTGGGATACAGAAAGGAGTGTGATCATTTGTAAAACCATCGTGCAATAGCCCAGACACTTCGTACTGCATATTTTATGGTCTTCGCACAGATGTTTTGTACTTATTTCAACGTTCCTGTCGTACTTCGCTATTGTATATTTAAGTACCTTTCCCTATCAAGAGAAGGACATTTTATAGCTGTACGGGCAAAGATATAAGACTCCCCAAACATTTCAAAAGATATTTTAAATATGAAAATTCCTTATTCTAGTTGTCTGAATTAAAAATGTATCGCAAATAACTTTAAGTCTTTTATCTTTCCGCATCAACAATACCAGCATCACTTATTACAACAGCTGATGTCTGACCTTGGAGGTAGTCAGCTGACATACGCTTTGAAGCTCTTGGGTCGTTCCTTGGGGGCGTTAGTGTCGTGATTGGAATGAGATGTGCGACGTTCGTGAGGTGCGCCGTGTGTACGTGCGTCCCTTTTGTGGGTCAGTTATGTGAAGTGTTCGGGAGTGGAATAGGGGACTGAGGATCAAATGATCGAAACAAGTGGTGGTGTGGTGTCGATAACCGTGCTTACATATTTGGTGTGATTGGCATTGCCCGGCGGTCGGGGCCGGATTATTCTGGACGCCAGCAGTGCTACTCCTTGACGGGTGCGAGCAGCAGGTGAGCGGAACGTGGCTTGTTATCTCTGTCGACTCTCATATTATGATGGGTATTGTGTGTTATCCGGCGTTATACCCTTGGCTGTTGAGTGTGGCGTTTACTCGAGAGTAGGAATGTGTTAGCATGGGCCACTTACTCGATCCGGTTTCATACCCATTCAAGGCCAGCACTGGTACCAGGCTAAAAAATGTGATATTGAGCATGTATGGGATAGCAGTGGCATTTAGATAGCAATGTGTGGGCATGCATACTATAAATCTGACAGCTCCAAGTTTGGGTCATGATCACTCCCAGTGCCACCAATTTCAGTATGTAGATAGTAAATGTTTCAAGGAGTTATTATTTTAATGGGGTAATTTCAGTCAAAAACATCCCATAACATGTTTTTAAACAAACACTTGAAACTGTGTAGTTTACCCAGGCCTCACTTCAACATTTACAATCTCTAGTTTTAGCAAACCAACATTTATTAAAGGCATGATGTTGTGAATGGAAATATGCAGGTGGGTTAAGGGACAGGTGCACCACACAGATAAACTTCTTGTTGTGACAATGGACTCACAAGCAGAACATGGACTGGGGAATGTTATAAGACAGCATCATTGAAGAACCATTCAATGTTTTACCAGAAATGGCTTAATTTTTCATCAATGCAGGGCTGCTTAATTTATTTAGATGCTAATATATTATGTGCATTCCACTCTCAGTCCTAATATTTTTCTGCTAATCCATGTGTTAGTTAATGGCCCAAAATTGCAGCATTTACAGTTTTGCATAACTTCCAAGCAAGGTTTATGGCAGTTTGGCACATTTAATGTCTACAAAAAGTAATGACAAGTTTGGGAGCATTCTAGATTTTTGGGAAAACCCCTTTTTGGCAAAGATAGGGTAATTCTAAAAGGTATGATAACCAGCTCGAACCTGATGCATTTTCCACCATAATTTGCTGACATGAATGATTTGAATGTTCTGCAAGGAGTCTAGGCAATTCTTACTGGATACATTCCACTCCACATGCAAGTGTCAGATAAGGAAGGTATTTTGCCATTGTCCAGCTAATTACAAATGCCTTTGTGTCTCACATGTAAGCATTGTATCCTAAATCTCATCTCAGTAGAATCTTCATTGCAGTATTATGCTTCTGGGGAGCTAGCAGTGCCATTTTTGATTTGTAAATGTCACATGACTTATGTTTTGTGCCCAAAAATTATTTCATTCAAAGCCATGGATATATATATATATATATATATATATATATATATATATATATATATATATCATAATAATATTTTTCTTAAACACCCCAGTTAAAAGGATTTTTATTGATTTTTTCTTTCATCAAGCCTTTAGCAACAGCACATACTGCCAGTGGGTGCTGTTGCAGTGGGCCACTGGCTTCTTAGGTGGGAAGTGTATAGGCTGTCACTGTCACAGCCTATTTTACAGTTATTCAAGCATTTCCATGCAGCACACCTTTAATAAACTATGCTATAGACCTTAACTTACCATGTTTATATTTGTTCCACCTTGACTTGGCATTGGCCTACACTTATCAAAACTGCACCTGGATTCTAAGGAAAAAGCACTATAAGAAGCAAGTAAATCACTGACTGTGAGTATGTCAATCATCATGGTGACATCATGCTTTGGCACCATCCCAACAGTGCCTCTTGGAGATGCCTCTGCCATTGGTTCGCTGGATATCCAGGATACCAAAGGTGCAAGTTTGGTTCCCAGCATTGCCTGCACTCCCTTGAGAGGCAGGCAACACCCTGTAGCTTCAGATGCTGATTGTATTGTAAAGCCTCAGCACCACTAGCATGCTGTCTTAAACAAGAGGTCATCAAGTCTGGAAAGAACATGCCTGGCCTCAGCTTGACATAGTGGTGATGAAGTTTTTAAGTGTATGAAAACAAAATGAACCACATGGTCATTTGGCTTATCCAAGCAGTCTGGCCCTTCAGCCATAGCCCACAAGCACCCATGAAACTTCTGCTACTGTTTTGTTCAAGGTGCAAGTCCTTGAGGTGAAGTGTAGCTCCAATCTGTTCTTGCATCACCTTTTACACCCTTTTGCATCACAGAGAAGTGTAGTGTGGAGCAAAAGTTTGGTGACCCTTTTGCACGTGTACAGCGTGCGGTGTCTGCTGAGCGTGTTCAAGCAGCTCGACGAAGGTGATTTATTTGCTGCTGGCGATACATGACTTCCTGATGAGGCTGTTCCGAGACCCGCACATACTGAACTGCGGCACATACTGAACTGCGAAGGCTACTGCTAACACCGACAGTTTGGTAACATGCCGATGCCGTCACAACTGGGTCAGGCCATCGCTCGGCCCACTCGGCTGACCTGCAGCTGACTCACGTCACGCGCGGGGCGTCAGACCGTGGGCCGGGATCCGCGCCGCGCCGCGCCGCTGCGCCCCGCGCCGTAGGGCAGAGGCGCCCGGCGCCCGCCGGCTCAGAGTCGGGCTCCGCTGCGCAGTGCTGGAGATGTTGGAGTTGAGCCCGTCCGTATGCCCAGAGCTTAGTATTAGGTCTTATTATTTGCTAGGTCTTTATTAGGCATTAGATCTATGGCGTGCACGAGGTATTTTGGGCTCCCAACAGGAACTGGACGCTTCGCTTCCTCCGGCCTGTGCACCGTGATCTCTGGCCGTGGGTTTTCCGTGACCGCTCGTGCAGTTTTGCAGATTAGGGCGCCGTTTGCGTGCCGGGCTTGGCTGACGCCGGTCCGGTAACGGGGCGAGGAGAAACAGTCTTGAGCTCGCGCTGAGCAGCTCCTGCGTGACCGGCGCGCGTCGGCGGCAGGCTGCCCCTTGTGGTCTATGCGTGTTTGTGGGTGTGCGTGTGCGTGTGCGTGCGCGTGTGCGTGTGCGTGTGCGTGCGTGCGTGCGTGCGTGCGTGCGTGCGTGCGTGCGCTCTTATTTTACGGGTCTAGTGATCTAGTGATTTTACGGGTCTAGTGATTACGGGTCTACTGATGGTTAGCGAGGGGAGCAGACTGACCCACCTTCGTCGTTAATGTTCGCGGACACCGTTTAGGTACATCGACAGCTATAATTTGGTTTGGGTGCGTATATTTGTTACTGACGATGGCGGCGTCGTATAATATGAGTGGGAAGAAAAACGGAAGAACATCTATATACCGGGTGCGTACAGCTATTGTAGTGTTAATTCCGTAGTGGTGTGTTTAAGTTACATTTTTTGCTGCATACCTCTAGTAAAACATAGCGCACGGAGTCAGGTAGGATATCATAAAAAGGGCATGGTGCATTTCACTCGGACGGCTGACTTGCTCACGGGCCGTTTGCGGGGCAAGGTTTTCCTGGTGTGGAGCTCTCGGCTCAAGTGTGATGTTATTGCGAGCGTTGTCTTCGCCATGAGCCACAGCCCTGATCTAGTGTTAAAGAAGTTTGAAGAGAATTGGACTGTGAGTCCAGCCCGTGTCTCAGTAATCCCGGAGCTTTCCAGCCCTGCAAGAAAGCTAAAAGATAAAAACTTTAAGATTTATGGAGCAACGTGCTGCAGGCAAATCAGTGAACGTAGTGGTATGCACGCGAAGAAAAGCACATGCTGCGGACTCGCCTTTAAAGCCGTGGCTGTCAAGGATCTTTTGTGCAGGTTCCAGTGGCGCAGTGGGTACGCTGCACAGCTGGAACCAGAGGCGCGGGGTTCAATAGCCCGTGGTGTCGGCCCTTTCTGCCAGGCAGAGTGGTGGACGACGCCACATATCTTCAATAGTTGCGTGCCGTAAAGTTCTAATGACATTAGGGAGCTTTCCTATTGTTTGAGTAACCAGCTGGGTCCGACATCTGACGTTACCGGATCATTTCAACACAATGAAACTGATAGAGTCCACCGCTGTTGATGTTTAATCTGTTTTTTTTTTTGTGTGTCGGTGTCCCATAAGGCTAGAGACTAGGATGGCAGGGAAAGCTAATTTGTTCCACAAGCTTCGTATGCAAACGGCCCTAACCACGTCTACCTTGCTGGAGCTGGAGACACCCTGTCTTCAGCCACATAATCATGTGGTAAACATCTGGTGTGATCATCGCCGCCGTCTGTCAACACGCGGCCGGCTCGCGCGGCACGTGCGGCATGTCCGGCATGTCCGGCGCGGTCGACGCCGGGGCATGCGGGCATTGTCGGAGAGCGCGGCGTGCCTCGGCCACCGGCCAGAGCCGGGGCCTTTGCGCGCCGCCGCCGCCGCCGCCGCCGCCGTCGCTCGAGCCACACGCAGTCGGCCAGCGGGGTACGCGGGGTCGGCTCCCGACGCGCGTGCAGGCCCGCTGGTGCCGTCCCGAGATCGGCGAAAACACACCCGCTGCGGCACTGAGTGCGGAGCGGTGTAGCTGAGCGTCTAGGAGGGCAGGTGTGCGGGGTTCGATTCCCCGCGGTTCTTGCCCTTTCTGCCAGGGTGAGAGGTAAGCGACGCCGTATAATAGCCTGAGCAGCTTAGTGTCCCTTAAAGACCCAATGACACGAGACATAACACACAATGTGCAACCGTCCGCCGAACATCTGCATTTCGGGAGGAGGTGCAGAACCTCTGTCCCATGTCTCCATGAGCTGATCTACGTAGGTTTTGGACTAGACAGGGATTTGGATTGCGATTTAAGTTACCAAGGGGTGCAACGGAGCGGGCGAGTGTAACCAGCATCAGTGCTGTGCTCAACGGATGACATTTTTGTGTTGGCGTCTTATTAGGCTGGAGACTTGGAGGACATGGAACAACGATGTATGACGTATATATATATGACTGTGTTTATGTGACCTGCAAGCGCATACACAATCGTGCAACACGCGTATGCGCGACTATCGTTTTCAATACCAACATCCCAGATGACAGCTGTCTGGTCTGTAGAGCAGATGTGCGTGCGAGTAAAGCAGGGAGGATGCATCCGATCTGGCCCACGATGTTCCCGATCGGCCCCCGACGCAGCCGATCTGTCCCCGATGCAGCTGATCTGTCCCATGATGCAGGTGATTGGTCCTCG